AGAGAGAGAGAGAGAGAGAGAGAGAGAGAGAGAGAGAGAGAGAGAGAGAGAGAGAGAGAGAGAGAGAGAGAGAGAGAGAGAGAGAGAGAGAGAGAGAGAGAGAGAGAGAGAGAGAGAGAGAGAGAGCAGAGAGTCAGACAAAGATACAGACAGGCAGAGACAGACAAACAGACAGAATCAAATACAAAACAAAAAAACGTAATAAACACATAACCAAAAGACAGAGCCCAATAATCTATAACTGCCTCTCAAACTTAATCATCCTTCATAAACCTCACACGCAACAGATGCATAAATAAACAAAAGGGGAATAAAAATCGGAGACAGAAGGAAAAATTTCTCGAAAATCTTAGCGCAAGATTGATGAAAATAGAAGATGAAAGACGGATCCAGGTGTTGTCACTCTCTGAAGTAATCTCATCAAAGCAGGTGTAATTTGTGGGTCTCGGGTCGTCCCCTCTCTCCCTCTTCCCCTCTTTCCTTCTTCCCCACTCTCTCTCTTCCTCTCTTTTCTTCTTCCCCTCTCCCTCTTTTCTCGCCTTCCTCCTCTTCCCTTCTTCCCTCTTTCCTTCTTCCCCACTCCCTCTCTTCTCCGCCTTCCCTTCTTCCCCTCTTCCTTCTTCCCCACTCCCTCTCTTCTCTCTTCCCCTCTCCCCCTCTTCCCCTCTTCCCCTCTTCCCCTCTTTCCTTCTTCCCCACTCCCTCTTCCTCTCTTTCCCTCTTTCCTTCTTCCCCTCTTCCCTTCTTCCTCTCTCTCCTTCTTCCCCTCTCTCCTTCTTCCACTTTCTCCTTCTTCCCCTCTTATCCTCTTCCCCTCTTCCTCTTCCCCTCTTATCCTCTTCCCCTCTCTCCCTCTTCCCCACTCCCCCTCTTCCCCTCTTTCCCTCTCCTCCTCTCTGCCTCTCTGCTTGTCCCCTTTTCCCCTCTCTATCTCTCCGTAGGTCTTCCTATCTTCTTTCTCTATCTATTTTCTCTTCCTCTTTCACCTTCTCCCCTTTTTGCCTCTTCCCTTGTCTCTTCTCTTCCCCTTTCTATCTCTCCCTTGGTCTCCCCTCTTTCTCTCTCTATCTCTTCTCTCCTCCTCTCTCCCTTTCTTCCCCTTTTGCCTCTCATGTTGTCTCTTCTCTTCCCCTCTTTACCTCTTCTCTTGTCTCCCATCATTCCTTCCTATTTTTACCTTTTCCCCTCTCCCCCTCTCTGCTCTCCCGATGTCTCCTTTCTCTCTCATCTGTCTTTCCTTTGCCTCCCCTCTTTCACTCTCTATCTCTTCCCTCTTCCCTTCCTCCCTCTCTACTTCTCCCCTCTATCCTTCTGTCCCCATTCCTCACCCATCTGCCTTTCCCTGCATTTTATCCCTCCTTCCTTTCCCTCTCCTATCTCATCCCCTCTGCCTCTCCTTCTGTCCTTCTTTCCCCACACCTTTTTCCTCCTCATTTTCCACCTCTCCGTCTTCCTCTCCCCATCTTTCCCTCTCTCTCCTTCTTCCTTTCCCATCTTCCCATCTCCTTCTTCCTCTTCCCATCTTCCCCTCTCCCTCTTCCTCTCCCATCTTCCCCTTCTCCTCTTCCTCTCTATCTTCCCCTCTCCCTCTTCCCTCCCCATCTTTCCCTCTCCCTCTTTCCCTCTGGATCTTCCTCCATTCTCCGCCCCCTCTCTCCACCCCCTCCTCTACCCCCCTCCTCTTCCCCCCCCCCCTAATTAGAAGCGGGCGGGGGGGGAGGACACTGAGGAAAATCTCACTAGATGGCACTGTTAGTTTTGCTTGTTTCTGTTCTTCTTTTCTTTCTTTCGCTTTGTTTATTTCTTTATCTCATCATTTATACCATTCATTGTTTTCGTTTGTTATTCCTCTTTCTCCTTTTTCGTTTTTTTCTTTTTTTTTCTTTCTCTTCATTTGTTTTCGTTTTTTCTTTTTCTCTTCATTTCGTTTTTTCTTAAGGTTTGTTTGTTGTTTTATCGCGTCATCCTTAAGTAAGAGATTTTTTCTTATCTCCTTATTTTCTTATTCATCTTCATCATGTCATTCTTCTTTCTTTCTGTTTCGTCTACGCTTTTCTTGTTTTCTCTTTTATGTCTTTATATATTCAAACGTTTTCATTTTTTTCCGTTAGCTTTCTCTGCTATCTTCTACCTTTCTTTCTTTTTTCTGCTCCTCTTTACAATTCTTTTGTGGTCTTCTCTTTCATTCTCTTTACTTTTTTTTTGTTTTTGTTTCATTCGTATTATTATCAATATTGTTATCTCTATTGTTGTTGTTATCATTACTATTACTATCATTATCATCATCATTATTATTATTGTCATTATCATCATTATTATCATTATCATCATCCTTATTATTATTGTCATTATCATCATTATTATCATTATCATTTCTATCATTATTACTTTTATCATTATGATTATTATTTTATAATTATGATTATTATTTTATCATTATGATTATTATTTTATCATTATGATTATTATTTTATCCTTATTATTAATATACAATTATCAGTATCATTATTATTGTTATTATCATCAATATCATCACCATCATTATTCTTGCTATTGTTCTTGTTATTGTTTAATTGTTGATGTCCCAATCATATTCCTGTTATGATTTTATTAGTATTAGTATTATCTATATCATCATCAATATAATTTTCATCGATAATTATCATCATTATCATCTCTATTGTCATTGTCATTATCGATTTTGCTCAGATAATTATTATTACGTTGATTATCATTACTATGATTATTACCATCTTTATGATTTTCATAATTATTGATATAATATCATAATGTAATCTATTCTCTACTTCCTCATTATCTATATCATCTTCAACCCTTCCTCCTCTCTTCTCTTTCGTTTTTTCTTTTCCACATTCTTTCACATCCAACCTTCTGTTTTTCTCCTCTTCCTCTCTCTTCTCTCCTTCTTCTTCTCCACATTCTCTCACATCCAACCTTCTGTTTCTCCTCCTCTTCCTCTCCCTTCTCTCCTTTTCCTTCTCCACATTCTCTCACATCCAACCTTCTGTTTTCCCATCCTCTTCCACTCTCTTCTCTCCTTCTTTTTCTTCTCCACATTCTCTCACATCCAACCTTCTGTTTTCCCATCCTCTTCCTCTTTTCTTCTTCTTCTTTCTCTCTCTTCTCTCCTTTATCTTCTCACATTCTCTCACATCCAACCTTCTGTTTTCTCATCTCTTCCTCATTTCTTCTCCTTTTTCTCTCTCTTCTTTTATCTTCTCCACATTCTCTCACATCCAACCTTCTGTTTTCTCCTCCTCTTCCTCCTCCTCTCTCCTTTTTCTTCTCCACATTCTCTCACATCCAACCTTCTGTTTTCCCATCCTCTTCCCCTCTTTTCTTCTTCTTCTCCTTCTTCTCCCTCCCTCCTCTTTAAAGCCAAGGACACCACAAGAACCGGGACATCAAAGGAAGGAAAAATCTCAAGACATTTAAGAGTTTCCTCGAGACTCAAGTCGCAGAGTTCGGCCACGCCCAAGAATCCTCCGAAGCGGCTTAAGTGCGTGTGTGTTCGAGGATGTTGTAATGGTTCTGAAACACCTGGTTCATAATGTGTGTGTGTGTGTATTATATATATATATATATATATATATATATATATATATATATATATATATATATATATATATATATATATATATATATATATATATATATATAATATATATATAATTATATATATATATATATATATATATATATATATATATATATATATATATATATATATATATATATATATATATATATATATATATATATATATATATATATATATATATATATATATATATATATATATTATAATATATATATATATATATATATATATATATATATATATATATATATATATATATTATATATATATATATATATAATATATATATATATATATATTATATATATATATATATATATATATATTATATATATTATATATATATATATATATATATATATATATATATATATATATATATATATATATATATATATATATATATATATATATATATATACACATATATATACATACATATATATGTGTCCACGCACACACACACACACACACACACATATACCCCCCCCCTAACACCCCTAGCCCCCCTATCCCCCGCACCTACCGTGGATGGGCGCGCAGCTCTCCCAGCCCTGCCCCGCCCTGGTCCTCGCCGAGACGCAGACCTCCGTCGGGTGAAAGTTGACGACCTGGGACTCGTAGCAGAGCGGGTCGCACAGGACGCCCCTCGGGAGGCTCTCCATTAGGACGTATCCTTCGCGGTCCTTCCACTCGACGAGGTACCTGAAGGAGGGAGGGAGGGAGGGGGGGGGGTGAGGGGGGGGGGAGGTATGGTTGGGTTTTTTTTAGAAAATTGGGGAATAATGGGTTGGGTTTTAGAATTGTAATGGGTCTTGTGTTTATAAATGGGGGAATAAATGGCTTGGAGTTTTAGAAATTGGAGAATAATGGGTTGGTGTTTTTTAGGGGAATAATGGGTTGGATTTTTTAATGCGGGAAAATAATGGGTTGGGTTTAAAAAATGGGGATAATGGTTAGGGTTTTGAAAATTGGGGAATAATAGGTCGGGTTTTTTTTCAATGGGGGAAATAGGATTTTGGGGTAGAAAAGCGGGGAAATGGGGATTTGGGTAGAGAAAATGAATTGTTAGGGAAGAAATGGGGGTTTTGGGGTAAAAAATGGAGATTGGATAGGGAAAAAAACTTAGGGTAGAGAAAATGAGGGTTAAAGTAGAAATGGGTTATTGGGATTTTTTAAATTGGGGATTGGGCAGAGTAAACTGAAGGTTAGAGTCGAAAATATGGGGGAGCTAGGGTAGAAAAATGGGGGTTGGGTAGGGGATAAAATGGGTAGTTTGGGTAGAGAAATTGCATGGGAAAGGAAATGGGTATTTGAGGTGGGGGAAAATGGGAGGTTGGATAGAGAAAATGGGGGATTGAAATATGGGTAGAATAATGGCGGTTGAATAGAAAAATGGGGGTCTTGCATTAGGAAATTAAGGTAGAGAAATTTGGGGACTGGGAGAGAAAAAAGGGTAGTTGGGACGGGAAAGCATTGGGATGTTGGGGTAGAGAAAATGAAGATTTGCTGTAGAAAACATGGAGTTAGGGTAGAAAAAATGAGGGGTTAAAGTAGAGAAAATGGGACTTTTGGACAGAGAAATGGAGCTTTGGGGTAGAGAAAATGAGACTTTAGGATGCAGAAAATGGGGCTTTGTAGTACAGAAAATAGGGCTTTGTGGTACAGAAAATGGGGCTTTGTGGTACAGAAAATGGGCTTTGTGGGGGGCTTTGTGGTACAGAAATGAAGAAAATGGGGCTTTGTGGTACTTTGCAGAAAATGGGCTTTGTGGTACAGAAAATGGGCTTTGTGGTACAGAAAATGGGGCTTTGTGGTACAGAAAATGGGCTTTGTGGTACAGAAAATGGGGCTTTTGTGGTACAGAAAATGGGGCTTTGTGGTACAGAAAAACAGAAAATGGGGCTTTGTGGTACAGAAAATGGGCTTTGTGTACAGAAAATGGGGCTTTGTGGTACAGAAAATGGGGCAGAAAATGGGGCTTTGTGGTACAGAAAATGGGGCTTTGTGGTACAGAAAATGGGCACAGAAATGGGCTTGGATGGGCTTTGTGGTACAGAAAATGGGGCTTTGTGGTACAGAAAATGGGGCTTTGTGGTACAGAAAATGGGGCTTCAGAAAATGACAGAAAACACTGGGGCTTCAGAAAATGAACAGAAAATGGGGCTACAGAAAATAGAAAATGGGACTTTGAGGTACTGAAAATGGGACTTAATGGCAGAGAAAATGGGGCTCTGGGGTGCAGAAATTGGGGCTTTGGGGTATAAAAACTAGGAAATTGAATTAGAGAAAACGAAGTGTTGTTTTAGAAAATGGGTAGAAAAAATAAGGAGTAAAAATAAAAAGAATGGGAGATGGGAGGTTCAGAAAATGGGTTTAAGAAGGGACAGGGAATAATGAAAATAGGGTTTAAGAGAAGTAAATGGTACATAAAATATGATTCGAAGAGGATAGAGGGCATAGACAATGGGAAATTAAATTGTGGTTTTGTTTGATTAATAATGTTATAAATAATAATAATGATAATGGAAATCATAATGATGATGAAAATATTAACAATAATAATAATAATGATGAGGATAATAATGATAGTAATGATAATAATAATGATAATAATAATGATGATATTGATAATCATAACAATAATGAAAATAATAATAATAATAATAGCAATAATGATAATAATGATAATGATGATCACAATAATGATGATAATGATAATAACAATCCTAATCATCATCATCCTCATTAGGATAATTATGCTAATGATAACGATAATAATCTTAATCAGTAGTGATGATATGATAGTAATAGTAATAATGATAATTATGATAATCATTATAACTATCATTCTTATAATTTGTATCATCATTATAACTATTTTTATCATCATCCTTGCCATTACAATCTTCATCATTACCATCATCATTATCATTACCATCATTATTGTTGAAACTATAATTCCCATTAATCATAGTCAGTGTATTTTTCCCTTCTTTCCTTTGGTAATAAATAAGTTAAGAATAATATCATTAAACGAGCACCAAAGAAAAATATTTACACTGAATAGATAAATAATATGATGAATAACCAGAGAGCAAAGTTTCTTTACAAATACGCTGTAGATAGGAATAACCACACTATTACTGTCAATGATGTGTTTCCTTTTGCTATCGCCAGTGCATAGGTATTTAGGTATATCTTTGTTATCGCTTTCTCTCTCTTTCTTTCTCTTTTTCTTTTTCTTTCTTTGTCTCGCCTTTTTCTTTAACTCTTTTCTTTCATTATCTCTCTATCTATCTATCTCCCTTTCTCTCGATTTCCATCTCTCTCTCTCTCTCTCTATCTATCTATCTATCTATCCTCGTCTATCTATCTATCTATCTCTCTCTCTCTCTCTCTCTCTCTCTCTCTCTCTCTCTCTCTCTCTCTCTCTCTCTCTCTCTCTCTCTCTCTCTCTCTCTCTCTATCTTCTTCTTCTTCTTCTTCTTCTTCTTCTTCTTCTCTCTGCTCTCCTTTCTCTAATCTCTCTCTTTCTCTCTCCCTCTATCTCCCTATCTCCCTCTCCCTCTCTCCCTCCCTCTCCCTCTCCCTCTCCCTCTCCCTCTCAATCGCCCTCTCCCTCTCCCTCTCCCTCTCTCTCCCTCTCCCTCTCTCTCTCCCTCTCCCTCTCCCTTCTCCCTCTCTCCTCCCTCCTCGCACACAAATGCAGAGATTTAATGGCGGAACATGAAACCTGCAGACGCTATGAAAAGAAAAAAAAATAAATATATTTTCGTAAACGTCCATTATACAAAAATAGTCTTTTTATCTAGGACAAAATTCACTTGCGTCAGCGTGCCTCCCCTTGCCACATCAATTGCTGCTTGCTTGTCTTT